GGTGGAGAACTGGAGCAGGCTGGTAGAGAACTGGAGCAGGCTGGTAGAGAAGGTTCGCCTTGGTTGTAGTTATTGCTGTAGCAGGCAGGTGAAGTTGCTCCATTGGAACAGCTATTGAAGTCCTAAATATCACATACACAATGTAGATTGATTAAATGTTGATGGCAGACTAGAAACCATAAATTATTTTTTTCATTTATGATTAATTCATTTTAATTTAATTTAATTAATTTTATTATGCATCTATTTGATCATAATTTTATTTTATTTAAGTTGTTAATTTTATTTACCTTATAAAGTGACAACTCTTGTCTAGCAGCATCTTAAAAATAGCAAATACTTACATCAGCAGGCACATTTGTCTCTGTCTCCCGGCATTTTACAAAAGTGTCCAGCCAAGACAGCATAGAATAAATCGGTGGGACACGTCTCCTTGTCCCATCTCCACGTTTTCCTCTCATCTTCTTTCTTGCCTTAACAAATCTGTCCCTGAGGTACTTCCATTTAGCTCGACAAACAGCCACATCCTTACCCAGGGTCTGAGCTATTTCCTCCCACGAATGTCTTGCTCTATGAAACTCCTTATATTCTCTCATTGATGTATCATATAGATTTCGATGTTTTTTAATCTCTCCTACGAGACGCTCTTCATAACTTGACTCCATTTTCATGCACTTATAGCGGTTGGTGTCGCATACAAAACAGTTCGATGTGAACACAGTTCCAGGCACACAGTTCCGGGCAGTTTATCGTGCGACACCGAGTACGCGTACGCGGTCATGGCCGGCAGACGTCCGCTTCAATTCCACGCTGGATCCGCCTCGAGTACACTACTTGGACCTCCGCGGAGTGAAGGACGCCCGAGCATAGACATAAATACGTAGACGCCTCGTTGCGCGCACTAGCCCGCTGCAGCGGTACGTCGGAGCGTCCGCCATTTTGAATGTGGCAGAAGTGCGGGTTCCAATACAAAGAAATGGACTGAACTTCATAAGGCACCATTCTACAAAGTGTTTTAAGTTGAAGTCT